ATATATTAGATCAATCCAGTAATACTAATAAATATAATATAGCTTTGCTTCAATTAGAATCTATTTTACTTCGAAATAGAATGTCCCTCCAAAATTTTCCTAATATGCTTATTCCAACACCATTATCTCAATACCATATTCACCATAATCATTTGATTGAAGAAGAATTACAATATAATGTTCCTTTACTTGAACGTCGATTTGCTGAAAATTTTCTTCGATTAAATATTGAACAACAAGCTATATTTAACGCTGTTATTTTTGCTATCAAATCTAACCAACCTTCTTTATTTTTTGTTGATGGTCCTGGGGGCTCTGGAAAAATATTTCTTTATAGTGTTCTTTTGGATAAACTTAGATCTTTCTGTCAAATAGCACTTGCCGTTGCTTCTTCAGGAATTGCAGCACTTTTATTAGATGGAGGATGTATTGCTCATTCACGGTTTAAAATTCCTTTTGAATTAAATGAAAATTCAACCTGTAATATTTCACATGGAAGTAACTTAGCAGCTCTCTTACAACAAACAGATCTTATCATTTGGGATGAAGCACCTATGGCTAATCGATATGCTTTTGAGGCAGTTGATAAAACTCTCAAAGATTTAATGAAAGCATTAAATCCTTCTTTACAAGAGCAACCATTTGGGGGAAAAGTCGTGGTCAGTGTTATAAATTCAAAAAATTTTTATTCGCGCAAGCGCATATTATAAATAAATAGTATATGCGCAAACTTTAAAATCATATGTGCACTTTCTGTCTAAACAAATTTAGAAAATATGCGCAAAAAAATTTTTATAAGCTGTACATATAAAACTGCTCGTTTTTTGTCTCAAATCATCACGAGACTAAGCATGTGACATTGGTTGGTGATTATACTATGTAGATCAAAACTATATGTAGTCATTTAATACGATTTTACAGTAATAGATTAAAATTGGGTCTTGCTTTTTTAGATGCACTATGGCTATAAAGTTATAGAGCCGTTTTGAACATTACTTATAAGAATATATATTTTTTCACCTATTTTAATCAGGTTGTTTTGTTTGGTTGGCTGTGTCAACTTTAAAGTAACTGGTAAGATTTTTTTTTAAAAAAAATGTAAAATTCGCTCTACAGTTTAGTTATTTGGAATTTATATTGATCTTCTCAAACTTTCGCTTTAAAATTCTTGGTTATTAAACATAGAATTATATAAACGCCAATTTCACTTAAAGAATGCATACCTTAAAAAATGTAAAAAAAAAACAAGCAATTTAACGAAATAGCACCTGCATCCATTGAAGAAGTATTCGTCAAATTTAATGAAGAATCTAATGAAGAAACATGCCCAATTATGGACCATAATTTATAGTCCTTCGTTTGGTCTGATGATTGATCGATTGATCAAATTAGTGATATGAAAAGAGGTAATGGGAAAGTCTAAGTAATTAGTTGAGTAAGTAGGAAGTAATTAATCTAGTGTATAGATATATTAGTAATCGATGATGTATACAGAAGAAATAACTTTGCTTCTGTGAACCTAACATTCATTCTGGTTATATCGATCTGTTAGAATAATAGCTATACGGGTTAGAGGTTAATAAGTTTGGTTTATAGACATGGCTTATCAAGATGACAGTTATTCATATAGGATTCTATAACCTATCAGGATGATAGTTAAAAAAAAAATTAAAAATTTTTTATACAGTACTAGAAAACTGTGTAGGTTGCTCAATGAGTGCCCAGATATATTTCTACAAAACAAAAAACAAAATTATAGTATGTATGCAAAAAAAAAATATTTATTATAAAAATATTAATTATGAATAAAAA